TAATTGAAACCAACCCTAAGCTCCTTGTTTCTCCGCTCTAAAGGTAGCCCCGATTATTGCTGACTTAAGCATCGGAGTGTCTACCCCGAGGATCCATCTCGGGGCTGTGCAGGTCAATCCAGAGTGCGGATACGGACTGAAGAAGGACTTCTGGTTTGGTGCAGTTACATTTTGGCGCCGTCTGTGGGAATCTGAACTAAAGGCTCCCTTGTTGCTCTCATCATGGTTAAAACTAGGTCAGCCCGAGGTGGAAACTCGTCTTAGCCTCTTGGACGAGGTCAAGTCCCTAGCAACCTTCCACCTCATCCCCCACCTCCAATCCCAAATACGTTCCCTCCTGTTGATCATGCAGAAGGAGAAGATGAAAACCAACCACACAATTCGGCTCGCAACTCAGCCTCTACCGCTAACCAAGACGTAGTTGCAACTCAGCTTGCTGCCATGCAACAGCAGTTTGGTGTCTTTCAGCTAGTGCTGGCTCAGCTGTTAGCCCGGAACAATCCTGGTGATCCACTCATCAACCTACTTAATCCTGCCCCACCACAACCCCCAGCCCCACCACAAAATCCTGAACCAGTTCAACATGCTCCCGCTGTTAGTGAATCTCAGGGCTAATCTCACATCGCACCAGCTCAGCAACCCCTTCATGATGATGTCACTCGACGTCTAGATAGCTTAGAAAAGCTAGTGGTTGAACAGCGAGGTGCCCCACCCCCGCACCCTGCTGCTGACTCCGTACCCCACCCTCTCAACACCAATATTATACTGGAACCCTATCCCGCTGGCTTCAGAATACCACAGCTTGAAACTTATGATGGGACGAAGGACCCCGATGATCATCTACATGCTTTCTACTCTTGCATGCAGGCCCAGAACGTCTCTGATGCGTTGATGTGCAAAATCTTTCCCTCTACTCTCCGAGGTAATGCTCGAACCTGGTACTACAGTCTGCCTCCGAGGTCAATCAACTCGTACACAAAATTGGCATCTGCTTTTGCCACAAAGTTTTCCAGTAGAAGGTTGATCAGGAAAACCACTTCTGAGCTAATGCGAGTTAAGCAGAGGGACGGAGAGTCTTTGAAGAATTTTATGAGCAGATTCAATGATGCAGTGCTGGAGGTTAATTCTTTCGACCAAGCTGTGGGAATTACAGCTGTGATCTCAGGTCTTAGCCATGAGAGGTTCCGAGATAGTCTGCTAAAACATCCTGCCAACACCTTCAGCGAGGTAAATGACAGATCGTTGAAATTCATAACTGCTGAGGAATATGCCCTGTCGCAGAACCTAACTCCTATTAAGAGCCAACACCCAGACTGGAGAGATGAGCATCCGAACAGGACACCATAAAACCGAGGTCCGATGTCGACTTCCACCCTGAGATTTGGAAGGCCGAACTCAGCACCTCCGCAACAACCTACAAGTAAACCTCCAGTTAATTGGACTCCCTTTAATTTACCAAGGTCACAAATCTTTATGCAGATTAAGAATAAGATGGACTTAAGACGTCCGGGTCCAATGAGAACTGCTGCTGCTACCAGAGACCATACTAGGTACTGTGATTTTCATCAAGATCACGGTCATACAACAGAGCAATGCAATAGTCTGAGGTCCGAGCTGGAAAGTCTGGCGCAGAAAGGAATGTTGAATGAGTACATCCAGAGAATGGAACAGCCAAGGTTTGTCAGAGAACAAGGGCCATAGCATCAAGCAGTCCGCAACCCCCCAAACAGACAAGGTGTGGGATATCAGCAAGCCCCACCACCACTCCCACCACCAGCTAGAGTCATACACATGATTACGGGAGGTTTGGAAGTAGGTGGACTGAGCTCTAAGCAGCGAAAGTTGTATGTCAGAGAGGTTAAGCACTAGAACCAAACTCAGAAGCGAAAATTTGACGATGCTGAGTGGAAGAATCAACCCATCACTTTCACATCTGCTGATCTCGAAACAGTTGTCACACCTCACAATGACCCTCTAGTCACTTCCGTCACGATCAACAATTGCGAGGTGCAGCGTGTCCTTGTCGACACAGGGAGTGCACCAGACATCATGTACTTCCATTGTTTTGAGAGTCTTGGGTTAGATCCAGCTCTGTTGCAGCGGTATGATGGTCCCATCTACGGGTTCAACAACCAACCAGTTCCAGTTGAAAGAGTCTTCACCATGAATGTTGCATTTGGAAGTGGCCGAAGTTATATGACCCCTTCCGTGAGGTTTTTAGTAGTCAAGATGGCGTCTTCTTTCAATGCTGTCATCGGCCGACCTACACTGACTGAAATCCGAGCTGTGGTTTCCCAGTCTCACCTATGCATGAAATTCCCAACTCCTACGGGAATAGCAACGCTGCGAGGCAACCAGGAAGTGGCCCGACATTGCTATATCACCTCGGTCACGCAACCTCAGAAGGGTAAAGATCAGACGCCCGAGGTCAATCCCAAACGGATTCCTGACGATCGACAAGTTATGGGTGTTGAGATAGTAGATAACCGACCAGAAGATGAAACCAGAGTTGCTCCAGTCGAAGATGTGGAGGAAGTACAGATTGATGACAGAGATCCGAGCCGGAAAACGCAAATTGGGACTAAATTGAACCCGGAGGAAAGAGCAGAGCTAATAGCTTTTCTTCGGGCCAATAAAGATGTTTTTGCATGGACTTCAGCAGATATGCCG